CTGGGTTTGTCTCAATTCCTCTACTGTTGACTATAAACTTTAAAAATTTTTCGACTGAGACCCCAAAGGCATATTTGGCGGAGTTGAGCTTCATCTGATATTCCTTGAGGACCTGGAAAGATTCTTCACCAGCATGTCATTGATGTATACCTCCATTGATGTTCTGATTTATTTTTGGAACATTCGATTTACCAAATGCTGGTAAGTAGCTCTAGTGTTCTTCAGTCTAAAAGGCATGACCTGATAGCAGTATGTCCCTTACTTAGTTATGAAGGAGGTCTTCTCCTAGTCACTAGAGTCCATTCTGATTTGGTTATATCCAGAAAAAGTATCCATAAAGTTAAGGAGCTCATGTCCAGTTGTGGCATCCATAATCAGGTCAATCTGAGATAAAGGGAAGCCGATGTACAGTTGCCATTGGAATTCCTGACGAAGACCAAGTTTGTTAGCCAGGTTGGATAGTCCACCTCTCTGATGGTTTTGGCGTAAAGATGCTTCCTGACCTCCTCATTGATCACTTTTTGGCGTTCTAGGGTAAAATTCCTTTGTTTCTGTTTGATGAGCTTGAAGGTCGGATTCACGTTGAGATTGTAAGTGATGACTGAGGGGTTAATTCCTTGCATATCTTCTTGTTTCCAGGCAAACACCTCCACATTCCTTTTAAGGAATTGAATCAGGAGGTCTTTAACTTCCCTGTTTAGCTTAGATCCCACGTATACCAGGTGTTCTGGTCCCTTGTCAAGTTGAATAGGCTCCAGCTCTTCTAAGGGCATTGGCTTGGTCTCTAGCTTGTCTCTTATGTCTAGCTTGTCTAATTGGATGTTTTCGACTTCTTTCTTCTTCATTGATGCCATATAGCATTCTCTAGCTATACACTAGTCTCCTTGGACCATTCCCACACCATTTTCCATGGGGAACTTCATGACAAGTTGGTATGCTGATGGAATGGCCCTTAGAGCATTGAGGGAGGGTCTTCCTAGCAAGACGTTGTATGCCGAGGGAACATCCACTATTGGGAACTTCATAGTGGTAGTAGATTGGCAAGGATGATCTCCTATAGTGAGCACGAGTTAGATTGAAACCAGATGTATCACCCTTTCCCTTGAGAATCTCAATAAGTGAGTTCTTACTGACTCAAGTTTGTCTCTGCTTATATTCATCTTGTCAAAGACAAATGCGAAGACGATGTTAGTAGAGCTCCCATTGTCAATCAGGACTCGATGGATGATTTTGTTGGCAATGATGGCCCTTACTACCAAGGGGTCATCGTGGGGATATTGGTAGCTCTCCAGGTCTGTATTCGATAAAGTTAAGTCCATGTTCAGTCGAGGTGCTTTGGACACAATGTATACTTCCGATATCTCCTCAGTTCTGACTTTGTGCATGTGAGCCTTCCTGGTTGAGCTGGACTCCCCGTCTCCAACGAATCCTTCAGATATTACTCTGATCTCTCCCAGAGGTTGTTGATGTTGTGCAGGGACTTGCTACTGAGGTACTGGAGGTGGTTGAGCTCAGTTATGATTATCTTGCTTCACAAAGTGGCGCAATTGTCCCCGTTGGATTAAGAACTCGATCTCCTTCAATTGGATACAGTCATCAGTGAGATGGTCGTGATCCCTGTGGTATTCGTAGTATTTTGTTACGTCCCTTTTCACAGGATCTGCCTTTATTTGAGGTGGGCACCTTAGGAATTTTTCGTTTTGTATCTCATAAAGGACCTAAGATACTGTGGTTGTGAGGGGAGTGTACTGCCAAGGTGCAAATCTTGGCTGCAGTTCTTGTGGTGGTGGACTAAGGCGGTCTTTGGTGTCTCCTCTCCTTTTCGGAGAGTGGTCCCTGTTTCTTCGTAGAGATCTATCTCTACTTCTTTTTTTCTGGGACTTTAGTCTCTCTTTTTCTCCTTCTCCTTCTCCTTTTGCGTGGACGTGCTCCCTACCTTGGAGAGGAGTGCTTCCTTGTAGTTGATGTACTTTTATGCCTTGGCAAGGATTTCTATCATACTGGCTTACAGATTTTTGGAGATAGATAACATTAGGTCCTTTGACTAGATTCCTAACCCAATAATAAAGGCAGTGATGATGAATTTCTCGTCAGAGACATCCATTTTCAGGGATTCTGAGTTGAAATTTTGAACATAGCTCTGCAGGCTTTTATGGGGTATATGTTTTTAATTCAACAGGTGATAACTCAATTTTCGATAAGTCCAAACTCCTATGAAGTGAGATACAAAGAAGACAGAGAGCTCTCTGAAGGAACATTTCAAAGTGATGGCAAAGGCTCGAAATTGTATTGAGTTCTGGTACCCATGTAGCTCAATTTGATTCTTGTAGGTGTTGAGGTGATCCATGAAATCTTTTGTTCCATTGAAGGCCTCTATCTGGGGCATTCTGAATTTAGGTGGAAGTGAAAAGTGCAGCACCTGTGAGGTAAATGGGGACTCAGTCTGTTGAACTAAGGCATGCATAGTCACCAGAGTTTTGCTTTTAACAACCTTCTTCATGTGGCTGAGTTCCTGTTAAATGTCTTTGAATTGTTGTTCCCAATATTGTTCTTTCCTTTCCTGTTGAAACAAAGAAAATTCATTATTACGAGCTTTCTTGTTTTGACTTTTCACTTTCTTGTCATCCTCATTCCTACGAATTCGACGATGAGCATTGCCCATAGTTTGGCTGCGCTCATCTCCCTCGTGATATCTTTTAGAGGGTTGTTGTGCTGTCGTTCCCTCTAAGGGGGATTGTCTAGGGTTGACTGCACTCTTTGTGGATGCTGAAGGATATTCAACAACTCCTCATTCTGCTGGAGGAGACGTTGATTGGCTAGGTGAAGGGCCTCTAATTTGTTGTTAGGTGCGGGATTCGTTCCCACTGATGGTACCTACTAATGATGTTAATAATACGACTGGACAGAGGTATGAATATAAGGTGCACTGAACAATTCAGTCCGAGCTCCAAGGCTCTAAGGAGTAGGGTTTTTTTGGGATTAATGGATGATTACGCACAGTAGTTATAGTGGTTCACCAACTTTAAGAGATCGACTAATCCACTCTTAAGAGTGTCTCTTGCTCCTGAATCTATTAATAACTGTGTGCGGTTTATAAAGAGTAGATTGTAAGACTACAATGGCTATCTGCCCCACTCTCGATGGCCTTGCCTCCTATTTATAGTTATTCTTGGGCTTTGCTTGATCTGGGGCGAGATTCTCGCCCTTCCCTTGTAACGGTTGCCCCTCATTGCGCAACGAGACTTGTGCCTGTTGGGTAATTGATGCCAAGAAAGAAGGACTTGGTGGGATCCAACCATCCTTTGCACAAACCTCCTCGAGATATTGACGCGGGGAGTTGAGGTCTGAAATCGAGGTCTACGAGTAATATTAATGAGCTGAGCTCCCGAACTGGGTAGCACGACTTGGGTTACTGAGCTCACCCTTAGATATTTTGTGGTACCATCAATTCTAAAAATAATTTTACGGAATAGAAATAGTAAAATTTATTTGAATAGTAACTTAGAAAAAAATAAAAACAGAAAATATGGTGATTGTGGAAGTGTTGTGGTGGTGGTGGTGGTAGAAGTGTGGTGGTGGTGTTTTCTAAATTTTGCAAAAGTTATTTTCTAAATTTTGAAAAATTATTTTCAAAAAACACACATGACAGTTATAATTTTTTTTCTCTAAATTTACTAATTTTTTAATCTCAGTTTTAAAAAATAAAAATAAAATTCTCTCAAAAACTGTTTCTAAAGATAGAAAAATAATTTTTAAAATACAAACCAAATAGACTTATAATTTTGAATGAACTCTTTATTAGAATTAAAAAGAGGAAAATAGTAATTTACTCAAAAAAAAAAAAAAGGTCACATAAAAAAAATGAAAGATGACCAACTGCAGTGTGTTCAAAGAACAAGAACCATCATTGCACACGTGTTGAAGTTAACCGACGTTATTTTAAAAAAAAAGTTAATCGACGTCATTTCATGGGAAAAAGATGTTTCGAGGAATAACTACAACAGAGAATCTATTTTCGTGCTCTAGCTTTCGGCACGAGTATAATTTGAGTTGGGAAATTGGATTTTAACTAGAACTTAATTTGAAAAAATTAAGACTTGGGTAAAAATTTTTAATACTTGGGTTGGTTTTAAAAATTTTTAATTTGTGTTGGGCTCGAGTTAACGCCTCGTGAGCCCGAGTTCAACCCGAACCCGACAAATTAAAAAAATTATATATATATATAGGATTAGCACTAGTTTTTTATTTTTGTTCTATCGTTCTCTATTTCTCTCGTTCTCTTTGCCTCTCTTGTTAAAAACTTGGTTAAAGTTATTGATTGTTAATATAGGTGAATATTATGTAATATATATATTAGGTTTAGAACAACAAGCCTATTTTGAGTTCTACCCGAATTGAACCTAAAGTAATTCGAAATCATCAACCCAAATTCAACTCGAACCCGCCCGAATTAAACTTGGGTAGTGCTCGGGTTGAGTTCTCCAATCCGAGGTAGGGTTAGAGTTAAGATTATGATTAGAATTAGAGTTGAAGATTATATACTTAGAATTGAACTAGGATTGATTGTCCAACCCGTCCAATCCGCCCGAGTTGCACCCCTAACTTTCGGACATTTGAACAAATACCGAATTTATTTACTTTGTTGTCCATACAAGATCCAACACCAATATATATATATATATATATACATAAAAGAATTTTAAAAAGGGGACAAAAAAAGAATTCGAAAGATTGACGTAAAAGTAGTGAGCAAAATTTGAATTTTAAATTTGTTAAAAGGAAAATAAAAATACCAATATATTAGAGTCACATAATCTATTCATCGTTTTTTAACTTTTTTTGCATAAATCTAGCTTAGTCCATTAAATAATGATGTTGGTCATTCTAAATGGTGTAATTTAGGCCAGGGTAATGCAAGATACAGCCATTGCTAGTCAGATGCGTACTTTCGTAGAAAAGTTATGTGCGTCAACAATTGAAAAATATAAAAGTCAACAAAATTATAATTTCTCAACATTTCTTACCATTTTGGCCATGTCCATGAGGCAAGATCCAAGAAGATCAATCTCTGACTCGGTTGTAGTTTCAGAAGAGTTCATAACATTAGGGACAGTAGGAATCAGAAGAGCCATCAGCCCTCCGACCACAAGTTCTTCTGCCCTTGCATTCAAGAATGTCTCCAAATCTTTGGCAAATTGAGCTGTATAAGCCTCATAAACTTCTTTTCTACCCCCTGTATAGTGAATCCTTCCCTTATTCCATGCCGGAGACTTACTGTCCAGAATCTCCTCCGGCAAATCAGAGATCCAAGACAGTGAAGAAGATGAGAAAGCAAAGTGAAGGGAGGCCGTTGGGAATAACCGGTCGTAGAAAGAGCCGGCTACTCCGGCAGCATGGTATCGTCTTTTCGGTGGGAGAGATTGAAAAAGGGTGTTGAAATCATTCAAAACCTGGTCACTGAAGAACACCTGAAATTCTGGGATGAGTTGGGTTGTTGGTTTTCTGATTTGAATTTTTGCTCCACTACTTCAAGTATGATCTGCATTGCTAGAAGCGTATTGGGTCCTGTGGAACAACCAAAATCTGCTATGCGAAATGGGTTTATGGTGGAAGATGAAGAAAGTAGTTTCAGGTCAAGTTTGGATGCAACTCCTTCCTTGATGAGTTCCTTTGCAGCATCCACGGCTCCCCTCTGAAAAAATAAAATTAGGTCCATAATAGTCAGATTCACTAAATAATTTTACAAGTGTCAATTAAATTTTATCTTATCATCTCTGGAGCTGACTTAAAACCTCCGTTTTTTTGGGCTCAAGAGGAAAAGATGTGTGATGTTTGAAACTGAGGCCTCCATCGGTTTTTTTGGTCAAAAATAGCTTTTAACACCACTAAAGAAAAACTAAAAAAATTAGGCTTATCCAACGATTTTCAAAGAAGAGTCGACTTTTTCATAAATACTTCAAACGGTTCAAAGAATTTTTTTAATTATAAAATTTTCATTTCAATTTTCAAGTCTCTATTTTGCACCCAAAAAAGTCAGTTCCAAACAAGTCCAATAAATTTGTTTTAAAAAAAAAAAGGTCCAATGTATTTGGTTATCGGCAATATTTATGTAATTAAAATATTATTAAATTCTAAAAGTAAATAAAAATAGTAGATTTAGAAATAAAAAAAAATACAAAAACAATTATTTTCCTCCAAACATGCTAGTTAAATGAGTTATTTGTGTCTAATATTAACATGATTCATTTAATATTCTTGTTAATCAATTATATTAATTTCAAAATAAGGTCAAATTTTTTGCTTAAAATTTATCTTGTCGAGTTCGTATACTGTTCGTGCTAATAAATAACATTTGTAGCCCTTAAAAAATATTATCTCATCACATCTATCCTTCTAACCTCAAGTGTGTCCATTTAAAGAGAGAAAGACACTGAGTTTAAGTCTTCACTGAACCATCCCATAAAGTCTATCCTGATCGTTAGGAGGCATACATTAAGTGCTATCACTTGTGGTGGATATCTAGTTGTATTGGACCGAATATGTTACGTTTCGATACGATAATATTCGGTCTAAATTATGGGTTGAGTGAGATTCGTGCTTGACTCAGGACGTTGTAGATGGCTGAGTCATCCATGTCATCGTGACTCATTCGGATGCAGTTTTGTGATTTTTAAATTTCATTCTATGCCCAATATTTTATTCTGTCAATTTTTTTGTCCCGGTTGCCTCATACCATACAGCTGCAACTTATTAGTTACCTAGCGACCCCATGCAAACTTGCACTCCCTATCCCATCCCACCCCACCCTCTCGGATGAGAGATAATTATGGTGAAAATTAAAATAGAAAACGAATATTACCTGGTAAGATGAGTTTTGAGCATAACTATAATTTCCATCTCCTCCATTCATGGCATACGATTTAGGCAATTTGATTGTTCTTTCATCTTCCACGCATGGTTTAAGGTCTTGATCGATATTGATATTGACACGAATGGGTCGTCCTAGTGATGTATTGGCGTGTGGAGATAGAAGATCACGCCACTGTACACTAATCACATGATGTGGGTGGCGCGATCTCGATTGTCTTGGCCCATGTAACATGGTATAGCGAGCAATGCCGTGTTCCCCCACCGGATATGGCAAGACATGGCGGCCGATGGCAAGAGAAGAAGGAGGGAGAGAAGAAAAGTAAGAAATGGAAGCAAAAGAGTACATGTTTTTAATGGTTTAATCAAGGAGAGGGACAGTAGCCTGGAATGGTGCTTCAAGCTGTGTTGGAGTTAAGGCAACCACCTTGCTCTATAAATAAGTGTGTTTCAACTCAAAAAACTATTCTGTTAACAAAAAAAAAAAAACTCAAAAAACTATCTAATCAACAGACAAAATTTTTTTTTTAAAAAAAAACTCTCAATCCAGAGTCCATAGGGCCCGCCACTGACTTTCTCAAGTGGGTCTATACTTGATGAGGATTGATTTATTCTTTATCTAGCCGATTCTATTGTTTAATGCGGTGATTGGTCAAATTATTATTTTTTTAAATTTCTTACTGCAAATTAACGTGGATTGTTAAATTTATTGTTGTTCTAAAATCTATTGAGATTTACGAAAATATCTCCATTGACGGATAATTTTCTTATGTCCAAACAATTAGCCAGTTCTTTTTACAACTAATAGAGATCCGACACTTATAGTTGTGCCACATCATTTGTTGCAAAGATTTTGGGTGCACATTGCATTTTTAGTATTCGACCTATTTGAATTTCACACGCCTCTTTGGATGTTTTTGTACTTTTTATAGTGTGTGTAAGGGATAAAAATCGCTACGAGGGGGGAGACGACTTTCTTCTGATGTGGGACAAGCTTCTGTGGGCGAAGAGAAGTAAAGGCTATTAGGGCTCGGTGCCGTCAGGTCAACCGGAATCCTTCGAGTAGAGGGCTGAAATCCGTAGCGATTTTTACCCCTTACAGTGTGTATTGATTGTAATCTTGTTCTTGTACGGGTTATTATTCATTGAGTTATTGCTATTTGGATCTAAATATTTGATTTGAATTTTGAATACAATAGAACGTCAGTTGACATGGTTTAATAATAAAATTTGTAGTTTTTGTTGTTGGAATTTTTCTAGCATTCGACCTATTTGAATTTTTATAGTTATTGTAGTTATTCTATTCGGATCTTCATTTGTTTGTAGTATAAATTAAACTGCAGAGTTTGACCCTCCCTGAACTTACAGTGACGGGAATTTTGTGCAAGGGAGGCTTTTTTTTTTACTTACAATTGGATACTAACAGAATCTTCAATAATTATGAAGTTCTAAAATTGTCAAGGAAGGCCATGTATTGTATTAACAAAAACAACTTGCTTGTATACAAAATGAGCTTTGAAAACCAGATGGAGGTGACCGACTGGGCTTTAGTCACCCAAGGGAGGGTTGATGACGTCAATTTTAAGTTTGAATGAACGGGTTGATGATGTCAATTTTGAATTTGATTAATTAAACTAAATATAAGATATTTATATTTTTTGTTTCCGTGTTAGGTCATTTTTAAGTTTGTCACGTTATAATCAAGTTCGTGTCATAAAATTCTTGTCGAGTTTGAGTCGTGTTATATTGTTGAATCAAAATTTTTGCCTCTAGTTAAGATGAAAAATATTTTCTTAATAAAACAGGAGTGTGTTTGAATTTTATCCTAATCATATTTTTTTTCTCAAAACTATCACCAATCACTTACCCCTCATCCATCATCCCTTTGTCAGACTCAATCGTCAAATTGTATCACTTATTTCTATCACATATTTAATCATTTATATATTTCCTTCCTAAAAATATCACATAACTCATTTCTATTACATATTTAATATTTAATTAATTTATAGTTAATATATTTTGAAAAAATTTAATATAATGCGATCGATTTTTGGACGCTCGAATTTTATATTTTATCGTGCCTTCAGACAGGGTTATGACTAATATATATATATATATATATATATATATATATATATATATATATTGTATTTTTATATGAAATTAATGTATACATAATATATGTATTTATTAAAAAATATATAGACAAATAAGATATATCTCAACACAAATAATTAACTTTATATTCACATTCCTTCTGATTTTAGAGGGATTGATTTTAATGAGTTGAAAAGAAAGTTAATCCATCCATTTTTCTAACCTTTCTATTTTTATCCCTTAACTTTCCATCATTTCATCATGCCAAACGGAGCATTAAAAATTGAAAATATTTTGAATCTTTAAATTCCAATAATTTTCCTTCTTATAATTGAGAAAAATTGAGGGAGAACATACAAAATGCGAGCTCAGTTCAATATTTTCTAAGTAACTCTTATAGTTATAATAGCTTGTCGGTACAATTCTTTTTAACATCTTGACTATCTCTTACAATAAAACAAACATCTCTTTGCATGTAAGAGTAGAGTTGCACACATCTAACTTTTTTGTGATTCTGCAATAATGAGAGTCTCATGCTTGATTCTGCAATAAGTGTCGGTCTTAATATTTACTTATATATATATATATATTAAAGGTTAAGTTACACATTTTAAAGGTGAAGTTACAACCGGTCAGAGGTGTTCATAATCGATTGCAATATTTCATAATTGATCATCAAAAATTACATCAATTAATTATAATTTAATCTTTAATATGTATAATTTGATCTCATAGAGTAGCAACTTACGATATGGTACCGATTTTTTTTTATCGGTACCATAATCTTTCCCATCAGATCATATTTAAATTCATGATAAATGAATCTAAGATAAAGTCTATGGTACCAATTTTTTCTTCTGGGTTTCATTAGCAAAATACAGCTTTTTGGGGGCCTGTGGCGTTTGAGATCGATCTTATTTTATTTTGTAACTAGATCTAAAATTTAGCATATTGAACCTAACAAATTATAAATTAGGAACCATATCATTTTTTTTTTTTGGTACTGAAATTCAAACCTATTAATTCGACATAAACAATTATAACATTAACACGATTTTTAAATACACATAATAAATAGTCTAGACTAATATTTAATAATCAAAAGACATTAAATAATTTATTTTTTTTTATAAATTTTAATACGAATACGACACAAATACAATGATACGACATGAATAACATAACATACGGATTATACAAATACGACATGATTGACGCCAAGACAGGGAAAGGGCAGCTGAGGGGAGGAATTTTGGGTAGGGTCATATGATCCCCCTTGCACATGGTGTAGGTTGTCGACAACCAAAATATTGTCGACACTCGAGAAGCACAATAATGTTGAGAATGACACGCTTACCTTCAATTATTAGCTACTGGATGATACTAAAAATCAATCTTTACGAGCTGTAGATTTCGTTTTGATTTATTTATGATTGATTGTGAAA